GAATACTGCATCAGAAGATAATTGATTTACCCGCGTTCAGCACAAGAAAGCTCAACACGGTGTGGAGTGCAACTTTATTTCACGGTGCAGAGGTTGTAGTTAACCGGAACACAGACAGTTAAATGCCTCTGTCCATGAGTCATTAGTGGCTGCAGAGTGACACCAAGCAGATGAGTGAGTCCCCAAAGAGCTCGGCCCAGGAGACGCTGAGACATCACAGAGTTGGAGGTCAGTGTGGAAATGCTTAGCCTTGAACTCGGAGAGAGATCCAAGAGAACTGGTTGTTTTCTTTGAATTAAAAAAAATGCCTTTAGAGACTGACTGCAAGTCTGAGACCATATCTGCCCACATACAGTACTTGTACTGTAACAGGAATTACGGGCTAGAGACCCTTTGCAATATTAATGTTTTTTCACCTACCCAAACTGCAACCCAGAGCTTGCTATAGAACATCTTACACTACCGCTTAAAAGTTTAGGGACAGTGATTTTTATTATTATTATTACTATTATTATTATTAACATTTTTAATGCTAACCAAGGCTGCGTTTATTTGATTTACAAATATGGTAAAACACTAATATTGTGAAATTATTATAATTTAAAATGATTGTTTTCTATTTTAATATATTTTAAAATGTCATTTATTCCTGTGATGCAAAGCTAATTTTTCAGCAGCCCTTACTCCAGTCTTCAGTGTCACATGATCTTTCATAAATCATTTTAATTAATATGCTGACTTGTTGCTCAAGAAACATTTATCATTGTTATCAATGTTCAAAGCAGTTGTGCTGATGTTTTTTTTATTTTCAGCATTCTTTGAATAGAATGCTCAAAGAAATACTGTAACACTTTATTTTAAGGTGTCCCAGTTACACGCTACATGTACTCACTATTATAATAACAATTAATTATGCATAATTACATGCAAATAACCCTAAAACAAACCCTAATCCTAACCCTAACCATATAGTAAGTAAATGTAGTTAATTAATATTACTCAGTACTTAAATGTATAATTACACTGTAACAAGGACACCTTAAAATAAAGTGTAACCGAAATACCATTTATTTGAAATAGATTTTTAAATAATGTAGAAGTATTTGTTTGTTTTGATCAGATTAAGTCATTATTGCTTGAAACTATTAATTCTTACAAAAAACTTGCTGACCAAACTTTTGAACAGTAGTGTATATTTTAAATTATTTTATTTATTTTATATTTATCTTATGCAACCTGAATTGTGTTCATTGCCAATTTGATATATTTTAAGATAACTGATGATTTTTAAAAAAATACTGATTTTTGTGATATATTTGCAACATTATGTTCTGTCAGAGTGTTTATTAGGATAATGATCCAAGATGAATGGAAATTCCTTAAGCGGCCTACAGTTGCTATGGTTACCATCCAAGGTGAATGATTTCTGTGAGCATCAGGTGACCCTGACTAACTTTTAGTGTAATGTGAAATGTTTGAAAATCTTATTGGAATTTGTTTATTTATATGTATATATGTAAATTCAGCATTACAAAAAAAAAAAAAAACACGTTTCCCAACTCCCACCATGTATTAGTGGTCAAATAAACTGGAAGTTCCACCCTCAAATGGAGAATGGCTTCTTTATAACAAACAGGGGGAGTGTTCTGGAAACCTGTTCGGTAATAGTCATAATTAGTGCTATTCCAGGCCCATAAATTACGCAGTTCATCTTTAAATAGTCACAGTAAGTAGATATGTAATAATTTGGCATATTTTGTTTTGTTCACATGCAGTCAGCCTTGCAGCAGACATCGTTTTTATCTTTTTGTGATTTAGCGATTATGTATGCAGCAGGAGAAGTCAGCAAATGTGTCTGAGTGCACAAAGACAGTGGAGAAGCTGCTGTTCGCTGCTCTCCCTTCAAGGCTGTTGCTCTTTTCCTCGCTGTCTTTCCTGCAAGTTAATCCCATCAGGAATTCAATTTACTTCTCTTTTAATTATCACCTTTCAATTGACTATTTTAAAAGGAGAAGATTTTCTCCAATCCCACTTACTATAATTAGGGTTTATGCACGGATAATGACAATTTTAAGGGATCAAAGGTGGAATTCATTTGTAGAGGGGCCTGAATCTCTTTTAGTTCCTTGCAGTTTGTCAGAGATTGGTTTGCAATACAAAGTTTACAGTAATTATGTAAATAAAAAAATTAAGTGAGCAACTTAAAAGAATGCAGCAGTTAGCGGTTGCGCTATATTTTTCCCCCAAACAGTCAAATGTGAGCAGTTTACCCTTATTTGAACAGCTAGTGTTTGACAACAGGCTTGTTAGCTTGTGCCACCTAGTGGATTAGCACCTTCCGTGTGGACACGAGGTTATGTATCTAATAACAAACGATTGATTTCCCTCCCCGACAGTCTCACAAATTGGAAGCTTTACTGCATTAAAATTTCACCTGCCCTAAACACACAGCCAGAGCATCTGGATGGTCGTAGCGTGTCCGCTAACAGTCGATATGAATGCAATCTGCCTCCCTCGGTGAGGATATGAGTGCTAAGGAAGATGGATTCATTGTAGACCTATTTCTCAAGCTGCTGTGCATGAGAAATCACACTGCTCGTGTACTGCTGCTCCTGCTCCTGTCTTTGAATTGCATGAACATATGCAAAGCAGCTATAGTTACACAGCAACACACACAGACATGCACCTAACAACCCCATCACACCAGTGTCAAAACATGTCACGCTCTCCACCTTGCCGTTCTGTCACAGCAGACAGAGGGTGCCATCGGGAGTTAAGCATGTCAATAAGCCCCTAACATTGATCAAGACACTTACTGAACAGCTTATAAACCCCCTGGCGCAGGTGTCTGGATAGATCAGTCTTCTGATCCAACTTAATTGAGGAAAATGTGATAGTATTGAGGGAAGGAGGCGGGGGAGACTAAACTCCAATCATGACATAGAGCAATGTGATCTCATTAAAAGACATATACATAATTTATCAGCTAATGCAACTGCTTCATAAGGGTTTCTCTTATATTGTATTTGGCAACTGTGTTCTCTGCAAACCACTCATCAGGATCTGTGCACTTAATGCTGATGTTCTTTTTGGGGTCTTATAAGACATGCTTAACATCTATGAGGTTGATATTTCATTACTAATGTTATTAGGACTAATTATAAAAAAAATATTTTAACTTGATGCATCATCCTGCATCAAAAATATACATTACTACTTTTTTGGGTTTCTAGAGATACAGTAACACTTGAATGCAGTACAGTGTGTAGGAGATACTCTTCTGCTATCTAATTGGGTTTGTTTTATTGTATTCTTATAGTGTTTTTTGGGTCCAAACAGAAACAATATTAGTCTATTGGATAAAAGTGCTATTTTTGAAAGGTGTATGCTGCTTTGTGAGTTAAAGCCTTAATAATGTCCATTTTCTGGGTTTTGGATAGGTCAGAGGAACAAAATAAATAAAAAAACCCACATATACAGTAACACTTGAATGCAGTACAGTGTGTAGGAGATACTCTTCTGCTATCTAATTGGATTTGTTTTATTGTATTCTTATAGTGTTTTTTGGGTCCAAACAGAAACAATATTAGTCTATTGGATAAAAGTGCTATTTTTGAAAGGTGTATGCTGCTTTGTGAGTTAAAGCCTTAATAATGTCCATTTTCTGGGTTTTGGATAGGTCAGAGGAACAAAATAAATAAAAAAATTTGAGGTTAAGTAAATATCATTACTTCTATTACTTGGGTCTCCAGGAGTCACCTTGTTCAATTAGCATGTAGTCATATAATTGTAAGTCATACACCAATGTTTTGTAACATCACCCAGTTGACAAGGAACATTCTAGAACTTTGTTAATGTTCTGGCAAGGTTCTCTCAAGTTTATGAACAAACGTTCTTCCAAATACGTTAATAAAAGGTTTGTTCAAAGTGGTCTTTGAAAGCGTAGAAAAACATGATTTTTTTAATGGAAATGCTATAAATGCCTCATTCATTCATTCATACTTTATTCATGGAATGTTTTATTTCTGAAATGATTTAGTTGGACATTTGTCTAATGTTATTTAAATGTTAAGTTTTTAAATATATTAAATGTTTGCAAAATTATAAAATGAAATATACCTCTTAACATTGAATGAATGAATGAATGAATAAAACATTTAAAAACTGGACATTCAGAATTATTGAACATTCCAAAATAACATTTTCATAATATAATGTGAAATTTGGCAGAACATTCTTAGAACATATTTTTATTAGTTGATCAGCTGCTTAATTGACCCTTTAAAATGCCTTTTTTTTTGTTATTATGAACATTGTTATTATTAATTAGTGACAACAAATGTGGTAATATCTTAAGTAAGTGGTTTTGTTAAAGGCAAATTATTTATTAAGCAGAATCAACATTCATGTGTAAGATCAGAGTGTGTAGTAAATCAAGTAACAGCAGCCCACTGTCATATTTTGTTAATCTTCCATTTTTGTTATTTTCTAAGTTTTAACATCTAAACAAATGGATGGCACAAGGAATTCACAGAATGCCAATTCGCCCAATTATTTTTTACAACATAATTGTAATATTCTACCATACAAGTATACATATTGCCTTACTGAACATGCTTAATAGGCCTATACGTTTTCTGATTAGATCATAATGTGTGTGTGTGTGTGTGTGTATATATATATATATATATATATACACAGTATATGTTAAACATATTTACAATATCTGTTATGAAAGTCTTTTTTTTATTACTAACATTTTTACAGTGCATATTTTTACTCTTTGCAGTACACCTAAAGCATCCCGCCCTCTTGAAAGCCAAATGAATAATAAATGGGCACATTTTACTGCAAGTTTACGTTTCTGCCATATCAGCTGTGTCCTCGTATCCCTAATGTCAAAGCCTCAGCCCTTCGTGACACAAAGATGATGTGATTTGTGTGACTCTTTGGGAGCCCTCCAGCACAGTATGTGGGAGGTGCCCACCCCTTGCCACACGAGCAGCGCGGGCTCATGTTGATCTAATGCAGGAATCAGCGGGGACCGAGTGTGGATAGCGCGATATCTCCAGCTGAACGCTGGCGCTCGCATATTCTGCCATTAAGCGGCACTTTTTGGAGATCCGCTCCGTGTTATTCGGATGCTCGGTTCAGTGAGCGTCTCGCAGAGAGCCCGCATCACTCTGAGGAAGGGAAGAGACTCGATGTATCACAGTAAGTGCGTCTTTAGTTATCAGCTGTGCATCGCTCCGTCACGCTGAACTCGCGTTTATATTGCTGCTCTATCTGCACCTCAAACATATGCGGAGAGTGAGTATGCCGTTGCACGTTTTGCCTTGTGTTTTTGGTTAGCGACGTATTTTCTTAGGCATTTACTTAGAGAAGGGACACATGCTCACTTTGACGACTGCTTAGACGTCTCCATTTATTACAAGACATTTCTATTCATGCGGTAGACGAGCAAACCACAGAAGATCAATTAATTATATTATTTAGCATTATATTTGTGAGTAGTAGTCCTAGTGATGGAAGGTGTAGTAGTAGTAATAATAGCATATCTATATAGGCTACATATTTCTAGTTGGAAAGGCAGTAGTGAACTAAATGATTAATTGGAATGGCTATTAGAGTAGTAGAATTATAATTTAGTTGGACTGACAGTATATTATCAGTAGAATTGTAAAAGGATTGTAAATTATCACTAGTAAATGTGTATGTGTGTGCAATTTTGGTCCAATATTGTTCCAGTGTTAGGCTATATGTTTACTGGGCACATTTGGTATATGGAAAATAGTTTACCTTACAATAGTGTAAAGTATGTAATAAAAGTAAATAAATAAATATGACAGCATTCTATAATTATTTATTTTTATTCATTTTATTTTTATTATTATTTTGTCTTTATTTTTTAACATATTTTATGTGCTATGATTACAAATAGCTTATCATGAATACAATTTTTTAAAAAGTTTTCCATTGCTTCAAAAGTAATTTTAGTGCTGCAGTAGCTAGCAAGAATACTTTGTATGTTTTTATGAATTCAAACTGTTGTTTGGCTATTATCGCTAAAAGTGACCTTCTCTGGGATCATTATTCATCAAATCCTCAGTAAGCACTGCAGGTGTCATGATGGCGGCAGGCACAGGAGTGTACCTTTGGTTTTTTCTCTAAAAACTGTATCACTCACAGATCATTTTGCATTTCAAGTCATTTCAAGTTCATGACAGAAATGATATGTGAGTGGGTGAGTTGTTTACTCTGTAACGAGTCTGCCCATTTTCTCTAGTTTGACACATTCGGGCCGGTTTGTGCACCTGTTACGATAACATTATCCAGCTGACAGTGTGATCAGCCAATCACGTGGAGGCACTGCGTCATATCACGTGACCTTTCACTTGTTGATGAGGAACGTATACAGTATATCTATTGTTATACAGTATGTATCATGTGTATGTACATTATATTATATTTTCTACATATACTAAGGCTAGTCATTTATTTCAAAAAAGTAAATATATGTTTGTCGCTTTTAGTCAAGTGAAAGTGACAAGCATCTTGATGTTTGCTGTGAAAGTCATCATCACTGTTGACTTTTCGAAGCTTGCTCGAATTGATCTTACTTACTGAAACAGCTGGTGTTGGGTTGTGTGCAGAGCGCATTAACGTCAGGACGGGTGTGCATTACCGATGCTTTGAGACATGTTGCGCTGGGGTTAATGATCTGATATGCTCTGGGTTTGATTTGGTTAGAGAGCGTCATGTTGGAGACTAGTGCCTCTGCAGATGTTTATTAATCCGCTCTCACTGTCTCTCCATCACTTAATCCGTCCGGATTTACTGATTATTGCTGTCCACAAACTCTATAAACCACTCAGAATTTATTTATTTATTTCCCTTGAAGGATTTACTTTCTGCGTCACATGTTAAAAGTCATAGCTTCCTTATATTTTGCTCCTCGTTTGATTTATTTATTGATTTAGCCGCTACATGGCTCACAATATTCTTGGTTCTGTAGGCAAAGATGAGCGATCTAAATAAAACTGAAGTTATAGACCTCATTCGTATATGTGGTTGGATAGACTTATCTAGCATCTGTCGCTCAGCATCCCAGACTGCAGCTCCCTGCGTTGAGTGCAATCTCATCTCGTCTGGTGGCCAAGCAGATGAGGTTTTATATGGATCATATTTAATGTTAATCACCGGTCAGGCTATAACAATGCAGGACATGTTGTATGATTATCTTTCGCTCACAGTGCAGGCTTTTCTTTCAAAGCAACCTGGTTTATGTTCATGTCACAATACATTAGAGACAAATTCAGTGTGATTGCATGCGTACATGCAAATGAGATTTGTATAAATCAGGCTAACATCTAATGTCAAAACACTGCTGATGAGAGAATATGTTGCATAATTATTGTTTTGGATAATAATGTTTTGGCATTAGGTGGAAAACTGAAGCCTTTTTGGATGGCCTTTTGATATACTACACGGTCACAAATAGTTAACGGCGTTATCAAGACGAAAGTATGAGAGCGAGTGTGTTCTTACGGTAAGCATGGCGGCCTGTCAGAAGTGATGTAGTGCAAGTGACATTATAAAGATTCTGGGGTGGTTGCATTTCATAAAAATTTCAATGGATGGTGTCTGCTGGTGGAAGCACTGAGAAAATCTGTCAGGAAGGCCACTTCTATATAACATACACTTTCCTTCTCGTTGCTGAGAAAAGTTAGTAATATGAGTGGTGCAGTATGTGCATGCGGGTCAGGGCTGAAGAGTTTTACAGGTCGTTTTCATTTTACACTTCATTTTCACTTCATTGGCAAGGCGACTACTAAGTAAAATATGGTGACATTAATTGTAACTTTCTTGCGTAGAAGTGTTAGCAGGGATTATGATCACTCTGCGGAAACTTGTGAAAGTAGTAATAATTAATAATAAAGTAATAATAAAAAATTATTATAATAAATATTCAGCTTTTACAGGAAGATTGCAGATCTGAGATGGGTACCATTATAAACACAAGCCAGGGTGTTTGTTAATTATAGAGCAGGTCAACCAAAAATTAATTTCGTTTCATTTAATCTCCTTTTTTTTTGGTCATTCCGAACCTGATGTTTTCGTGTGAAACACAAAAGATTTTGAAAGTCAGTGGGCTTCAGTGTTGTTTGTTTTTAGACATTCTTTAAAATATCTTCTTTTGTGTTTTTCCGTCAGGTTTGTAATGACACACTGTCAAAATGATTTTTATTTTTTAAATGAAGTTAATAAAACAGATTGTTTGAGTATGTTTTTCTACTTAAACATTTAAAATGTTCTTGTGTTACTTGCTCTATGTATCTGTTTCTGAAATTTACTAGCGATTTCTGAGTGAAAATTGTTTATGCAACCAATTTTCTTCAGTGCATGAGTGTGAGTAAATGATGTGAACTGTCCCTTTAAGTGTTTTGATTGATCCAGTATTTTGAATACTCGTTGTCTTTGCTAGGAGATTTACGCCATGTTGCTTCCTTCAGGGAAATGTAGAGCCCCTCGGGACTCTCCTGTTGTTACTGTATCCTCCTAAGTTTTACGTTGACAGAGCGAATGCAGTGGGCGGCCTGACTTAAAAAAGCAACAAAGCCGTCATTTACATGTGGGCTAGGCACAGCTGGCCACTCTCAAGCCAGGCAAAATAGCATTTTGGACAGTGTCCTAAGAAGTCCGTTAGCATCTAATCTAAGGGCTCTCCTCTCCCAGCGGACCGTGCGGTAAACCAGGGTGAAGCTCGGCAAATAAAGACAAATGCTCTCTGTCAACCGCCTTGCGCCTCCAGTAAGAGACTCTTCTTTTGGCGCTGCACTCTGTAGGTTTTTAAAAGCAAACAGCGGCGTGCGATTTTTCAAAACATCATTATGCACAGAGAGGCTGTGGGCCCCTGATACTTCTTTCGCCCTGCGCATGCTTAGACTTGTAAGCCTCTTGTGTCATATTAAGATTAATTTTTTCCCCCTCCCCATCTAGCCGTTGTAGAATCTCAAAGTCGGTTTCTTTTTTTCTCTCTTGCTCTCTTCCACCCCCTTCTTTCTTTTTATCGAGAGACAGCCAGTGTCTTAGCGCAAGCATATGCTGAGTGCCTTTGACACGTCTCTGCTACGGAATTATTTGCATATTTGCCAAGCATTGAAATTGATCCAGCTGACATCACAGATCAAAGCCGGGTATACTGACAGCAGTGTACTAATGGATCTAAGATGGCTGTCAATTAGGAAAAACAATCCCTCTGGTGCTAGAAATTATTATTTCTCAGATACCTCTCGAGAGTGTGTGAAAAGGGTGTATTGAATGCACTTGCTCACAATGCACTGGTTCCGATGGTTTATTAATAGCGTTCATAGTGTTTAGCACTGATGGCTAAAAGGCTAAACTGAAGACATAAACGCTACTGGGAAAACGAAGTCTCGCTTTTGTTTAACACACCATGTTTTATTCCATATTGGCTTGACGTTCAGGAAAGCTGACAGCTGTGTGTAATAGTGTAGAAGACTCTTTCACACAGTTGCACTTTTTTTTTTTTTTTGAGAAAAAGCAGAAACACTTTTTTAAGGGTTCTGGACCATAGATGAGCAAGGTAAAGCTGTATTGTTACTGGGATTAAATGGATTTAAAGGAAACCCTCAAAAAGTGTGTTTTGTGAGAAATTGCCTTGAAGTGATTTTTGAAGACAGGTGAAAATGTAAGGTTAAGAGTAGTGGAGGGGCATCAGTGTAGTACTGTTTTCTTTTTTTCCACTTCCAAGCTTCCCGTCTAAAGGAATTGCAGTAAAATCAAATCTCTGGGGTCGGTTTGTTATGCTTGTTCAATGGGACTAAAGCTATTGTTTGGGCAAATATGCAAAGTATCGAGTGTGGGTGCATTCAGTATTCAGCGTGTTTAAAAAAGTTCCCATTAAAGCAGTCATCTTCTTTTATTCTGCTGTTATCACTACCACTTAATGTCTCCGAGCTGTATTTTTAAGCTTCTCGGCTTCATGTAATGATCCTCATACATGATTGCAAGTAGACCAGCCACAAACAGCGCTATCATTCATTTTAATAACACCGCCATTGTGCCTTTTTATTATGCCTTAATGTCCAGTTATGTGAATGGACTTGTGAGCTGCATTTATTTTCAGATTTCAGGGTTACAGACACATTAAAATTATGTTTTTTTTTTCCTTTTTGGATTAACGGCCTAAA